GGGTGCGGTATGGGTGCGCGGCAGGTTGGGGTGTCAGAGTGTGTGTGTGTTGGGAGCAAAAGGGGTTGGGTGTGGGGTTTGGGGCCCCGGCGTGCTGGGCCAGGTCGCTCGCGCCCGCCGAGCGTGCGCGCGCGGCCGCGCTCAACGGGCAGCGGCTGCGGGCCACGCGGCGCGCGCGACCCCGCTCGCGCCCGGCTCGCCCTGGGCGTTTTGTTCGCGCCCTGCTCCTGGCCCTCCGCCTGTGCCACCTGCTGGCAGCTCAAACTACCCTGCCAGCGTAAACCGGGCGGCTGCGTCCAAACAATTCAAATAAACGCAAGATGCAATGCCTCATCGCAAGCGATGGGGCCGCCCCCTGCACCCCTGCACCCCTGCGGCGCACCCTTGTTAAGCTCCTTGAAGTTGCGCGTGAGGATCCACTTGTAGTAGCGCCGCTGCAGCGGGCTCATGCCCACGCGCAGGATGCGCTCCGTCTTGGGCGGCAGGCTGCGCTCCACGTCCTTCACGGCGCGACGGATGAGGTGCGGCCGCAGCGCCGCGTGCAGCTGCGTCACCTGTGGGGGGCGGGGGCGGCGGGTGGGGGAGGTGAAGCTGCCGTTTTGGAGGGGAGAGGGAGCGGCAGGCGGGGACGCCGGGCTGGAGTGGTTGGGGAGCAGCGCCCGCGCCCAACGATGCCCCCCAAGCTGCAGCCACCCCCCAAGCACACACACACACACATACACACACTCTCTCTCAACACACACATGTACACAAGCACACACGCACGCACACACTCTCACACACACATCACACCAGCCCACTGCGTCCCCAGCCCGGGGCCTCACCTTGTCGGCGTCCTTCGTGTTGTACTGCTCCTCGAACGACTCGCAGTCTGGGAACTGCTCTGGCTCCAGGAAGTGCAGCAGCGCCCACAGCTCACGCATGTTGTTCTGGTGTGTGTGTGTGTGTGTGGGGGGGGGGGGGGTAGGTGAGAAGAGCGGTGAGGGGGCGAAAACATGGTATGTAGACTTTAGGGTGTGTGTGCGATAGCCGCAGGGGGTTGTCGCTGTGCTGAAAGCTGGGCGCTCTGCGGGCTGCGGGCAGCAGCAATGAGGCAGGGGGTGCTGTGTCGGGGACGGTGCTGAGGGACAGCCCCCCCGTCTCCTCCCCTCGCGGCCCTCCTCCCCCCCCTCGAACAAAAAATGCAACCGACCGACCTGAAGAGGTGTCCCTGTGACCAGCAGCTTGTTGCGGAAAGACCAGGTGGCCAGCTCCTGGAATCGACGGGAGGGAAGGCGTGCCCTTGTTGCCAGCACCAACGCCAACAGCGCCAAGGCTGAGAGATGTCCCGCGGCAGCCGCAGACGCCGCGCGGCCCCCTTCCTGCCCATGCCACCACGCGAGCCGGCGTCCCCGGGGAGGACACACACACACACATCCACACACCCAACTTCTCCCCCCCCTACACTCTCCCCCCCTCACTCTCTCTCTCTCTCTCTCTCTCTCTCTCTCTCTCTCTCACACACACACACCTGGTAGAGCGCTGACTCGCTGTTCTTGAGGCGGTGGGCCTCGTCCACCATGAGGTACGACCAGCGAATGCTGCCCAGCATGCCCGCGTCCTTCAAGACCAGCTCGTACGTGGTGATGAGCACCTGGGGAGTGAGAGGAGGGGGGGGAGAGGGGGGGCAAGCGGGTGCGGGTGCGGGAGCGTGATTGTTTACGTGGGGCCTGGAATTGGGGCTGCACCTGAGGCGAGCGCATGCGTGTGTGCGTGTGGACACACAAGTGGCCATGAAGAGGATCGCAGGCACGATCGAGACCGCAAAACCAGGGGTCCCAGGCCGCGCCGCCGTCGCACCTCGAAGCGGAACTCGCGCGACTTGCCGCCGCTGCGCTGGCGCCGCACGCCCGCGACGCCGCTGCCGCCCTGATCCATCGGGAACTCAAACGTGCGGATGACCTCGCGCGAACGGCTGTCGCCCACGTACACCACCACGCTGGCCTGCGGCGGCGAGCGTTTAACCGGTTTGACCGGTTCGACTGGTTTGACAGAACCTGCTCGGCACGCCCTCGCGCTACGCGGCGCCGGAGCTTCGCGACTGCGACGCCTTCCAAGAGAGTGCGCGGCCCTTTGGACGCGCAGGACCGCCGTGCGCCGTCCCCGCGCGCGTGCTTTCGCCCGCACCTCGGGCGTCCACTTCTTGAACTCGCGCAGCCAGTTGGGCACCACGCTGAGCGGCACCACCACCAGGAACGGCCCGCGGTGGCCGACGGTCTCCGACAGCACCCCCAGCATGGACACGCACTGGACCGTCTTGCCCAGGCCCATCTCGTCCGCCTGGCGTGGTGTGTGTGTATGTGTGTGTGTGTTTGGTTGAGTGTATGTATATGTGAGAGTGTGTGTTTGTGTAGTTGAGTATGTACGTGTGTGTGTATCGAGTGTGTGTGTGTATCGAGTGTGTGTGTGTGTGTGTGTGTGTGTGTGTGTGTGTGAGTGTATGTGTGTGTGTGGATGTGTGAGTGTCGTTCCTGCGGAGCCCGCTCGAGGGGCGCCACCAGGGCACAGCAACCTTGCTTCGCACAAGCGATCACATACCGGCTTGATGCTAAAAATGAATGCCCTCGGCCCAATGACAACCAGGTTTGCACCTTGTTTCAACCACCCTGCCAGCAACCATCAGGGGAGGCCCCGCCTGTTTTGGCCCCACTGCCAGCCACCCCTAGCCCGCCGGTCGCCGGGGCCCCGCCCACCAGTATGCCGTTGCGGTCGTTGACCCAGGCGTAGGCCATCCAGCTGACCCCCACCAGCTGGTAGTCGCGCAGCTGCCCGCCCGCCAGGAAGGCGGGCTGCTCCCGCAGCGCCTCTGTCATCTGCTTGCTGGCCTGGGGGGTTGGATTTTGTTTTTGTGTTTGTGTACGTGCGTTTGTGTGTTCGTATGTCGGCGTGCGAGCGTGTGAGTGTCTTGGTGTGACTGGGTTTGTGCGTGTTTGAGGTTTGCGTGTGTGCGAATTATACTTGTGCGTGCATGTCAGTAAGTGTGACATTGTGTGGGGGGCTGGGGGTGAGGACCAGGGCTAGGGGTGAGGTCCAGCACGTGGGCATGGATGTGGGCGCGTCAAGATGCGCAGGGGGTGCAGACGCGGTCGAGCGATGGGCAGGCAGTTCCAAAGAGCGAACGCGCGGCCGCCCAGTCAGTCCGGCCGGCAGCGCAGTCGACTGCCACGGGGGCGGCCGGCCGGCGGACGCCCGGAGCAGCTAGGAATGGGGTGGGTTTGGGGAGTGCCGCCCACCCTGAAGGCGGCGCGCTGCGCGTCGATGCCCTGCGACGGCTCCAGCAGCCGCTGCTGGCGCCGCGCGAAGGCGCCGACCGCCGCGCCGCCGCCCGTCGCCGCGACGACCTGCGGCGTGCCGGTGGGCGGCGCGCGGATGCGAGGGCACAACGCGCGTCAGGAGCGAGAGGCGCGGATCCCCTGGCGGCGGGCCGCGCCGCCGAAGCAGCCGCTTTCGGCGGCGCCCTTCGCAAACGTGCACGCAGCTCGCGCGCAGCGGGCGCCTCGCGTCGAAATCTCCACGCTTGTCCCCCTCGCTAGCGCCCGCAATAGAATCGGTGCGCCGCGCGGCTCACGTCCTCCTCCGCCTCCCAGGTGCACTCTGCGTAGGGCAGGCCCTCCCACTTCACCAGGTAGCGCGTTGCGCACGCCTCCCGCTCCGCGACAACGCGCTCCACCTGACGCACGGGGGGAAGCGGGCGGCGGCAGGCGATGTGTTGCCAACGCGCGAGCGCCATGCACGCACCCTCGGGAGCAACGCTGCCAGCGCCTGGCATGTGGTGCGCCGCCAGGCCCCACCAGCGCCCGCGGCGCGCCTCACAGCGCAGCTCCCCAAACCGAGCGACCTGGGCGCAATGCACATGACATCACCACCCATCCCCACCCCCACCCC